ATTCGATTATTCATTATAAATTTCCAGACTAAAAGCATTATTTTTTCTCCTGTGCTTATTTTGTTGTTCTTGGTTGATATTTTTCTTTTGCAATTTGTGAGCGGTCAAATCCGAACTCGGGTTTTATTCGTTTTGGTTTACTTTTTTATTTCGTTGCTTTCTTATTCCTTTTCGCAGATGTTTCATCGCCATCTGCGTGCGATCCGAAAGACACGAGCAAAAAAGTCCCATTGACGTCAATGGAACGAAGGTACGCTGAGAACATCTTCTGCATTTGTTGTTGTTGTTTGTTTTTGTTTTGATGATTCAGATTTACCATGGGTCAAGAGAAATGTATGCTTTTTTGAAGGAACCATAAAATTCTTGGAATTTCTTTTGCTTATTACGAATTGAATACAGTTATTATTAAGTAGGAGTAGTTAACTATTATCTATTGTATATAAAAATACTTAAAAACAAATATCATTTCAAGTTAAGATTATTTTTCGTTGGTGTTATTTAACTAAATCATCTTATTTAGTTTCCCTTATATATTTATATTGCAATTACAGTAATACCTCGCATTGTGCGGCTTCAATCAGTCCGGATTCAATACAGCACGATTTAATTTAAATAATCTTAATTTTAATTGAACATATTTCATTTTTATGCGGTTAGTTTGGTTTTAAACTGTGCGGGACATTTGCGGAACCGCACTATGCGAGGTATTCCTGTATATGCAAATGATACAGAGGTTGAACAGCGTACATACGTACAATAACAAAAATAATTGCAGACATAAAAGTGTGAAATTAAACGAAATACACATGAAACATTGTAAGTTGAGATATATAATTGCATGTGAAAGTAAATATTGTAATTCTACCATTATTTTGTATAGACTAGTAATAACTTTTATAGTTTGGTTTCAATCAGTGCAGGTTCATTATAGTATAGTTTTAGAGTTTCAAAACAAAGTAAATTTTAATTGAAAAAATAACTGGCTTATAACAGCCAAGTATCTTTATTGGCAGTTTATTTCTATGAGGTCTTAGTGTCTTCTATTAGTACGGTTTCAAATAGTGCGGGATATTAGAAAACAAAAAAAATACTTTTCGAAGAGTCAAATCTTATCTTATTTGCATTAATCACATTTGTATTATTGACAAATATTGTAATTCAACCATTATTTTTTATAGTTTAGTAATAACTTTTATAGTTTAGCTTCAATCAGTGCGGATTCACTATAGTAGAGTTTGAAAATTTCAAATCAAACTAAATTTTAATTAAGAAAATGACTTATACCATTTATCAATTTTAATGTCCTCGATTAGTACGGTTTCAAACAGTGCGGGATATTGGAAAAACAAGAAAATGTTTCTCGTACATTAAAAACATAATTTAGAACATTTTTCTATACAATTGTTTGAACGTCGAATACGTTTATGTAAACGAGAAAACATGAATCAACAAAACTTTGTTCGATTATACGTACATACATATAACATGCATATAAACATACAATGGATCTGTGAATCGTTTATTATTTAAATAAGAGCAGACATAAAGTTTGTTCAATTTTACATACTATGACCGGTATAACGTACACATATCCGTATATACGTACAATATACAAAAAATATTTTATAATTGTAATTATATTATAATTTAATATTTTAATTATTTTACTACAGATTTAAAAGATTTTTCAGAATTTTTATTTTTGTTATTAGTTTTCGAAATAATTTGGTTATAAATGTTTTAACTTATTTTTGGTGAGATCTCACGTGGAAGAGCCTTGAGAATTTACATCCTTTGATGTTTTTACCCATTAATCCATGTTTTTAGTTTGTAATTGATGAATAGTAAATATTGTAATAAATTTATTTTTTTTGGTTCTCAGTTTGTAACCTACATTTATTTTACATATACTATTTACATAAGAATCCTATATTTTTTTTGAATGAACGACGATAAAACTCGAGATGAATGAGAATTAATCCATTCCAAGAACGTTCCTAAAAATAAGTTATAATAGTGGGATTTGTATTTTTTGTGAAATCTTATGTAATCATTTTAATATAAGTGTGCACTAATTAGAATTCCACATGGAAACAAAGAAAATAAACCAATCATTTGAAATATGTGGTGCAAATTGAAACAAACATTGGATGTTAGACCGTCGATTGGTTTATGTATGCATGTAATTATCGTCTGTTCAAAGATCAAATGTTGATCGCGAAAATTACGGGGATTTCCTCGTAATCCAAACACTGGGGGATTAACGTTTCCGTGTGTTGGACTCTAAACAATTGTCGACCATCGACACACACGTCAACAAAATTCAGAGAAACGTGCAACAAATTAGGAGTGTTTATGATCGATATTGTTGTCATAGGATAAGACATATATTTATTGTTTTGCACAAAATTCCTAGTTGTCTATGTCTAATGGATGGGCATAACTTATAATATGCAAATCCTATAACTATAAATCACTAAAATAGACTCGAATCGTATGATTTTCGTGCATAAATTTATGTGATGGAAATACCAAGTTGTTTATTGTTTAGCAAATATTTATTTTGGAAATCGCATCATTTCATACATAGTCTATAGCTTGTTTGTTCGCACAAACGTACTGAGCGTTCATTCGAAAGTATGCTTGGCCGTAGAACTACCGTATCAAATGCATATACACATTTCAAATTTAACTCAGCAGAGTTATATGTAATATCAGATTACGTTTCAATCTGATTTGCACAGAAGTCAAAAATTCAATATAATCTCTTATTTGTACATTATATCGGACAAAAGGATATAACATAACATGTACGTAGAGCAGAAGGGTATATTTTTGTATATACCTCTTCAGTTGGTTAATATAATAATAATAATTTGTTGGCCAGACATCAATACAAAAAAAAAGCAACGGAGTAGAAACAAGAGGGTATTAATCGAGGAACATTAGGTATTGGAATAGGGATAATGTGGGATATTTAAATTTGGGAAGGATATTTGGGTTTCGAGGGGCACATAATTTAAAGAGGGAAGCGATGTTGGACTGTTCGGATTTAAATTTTAAGGAGAGGGAAAGGTTTCGGTCCAGGAGAGGGACTATTTTGGTTTTGGAGTAAATGAGATCATTAGGAGGATTGTGTATAGGATTATTTGGATATCGTATTTTGGTGAGGATACGGATAGGTTTTTTAGGACGGGATTTCGGCATTGGGAAAGTAGTGAGAAACCGGGTATTTACCAAGTGGTGAACTGAAAATGGAATGATTATTTAACGTAACATGGGGAGACAAAAGGGATATGCAATGGTAGGGAATAGGAGTTTGGTCTTGGATGGGTTAATATTATTTATTAAAATAATTTCAAATATTCTTACAATTTGTACGTTATTTAAAAACAAGTTAACTTAAACAATTTACTAAGATATTTGTAAGATTTTATTTAGTTGGGCGTTAACATATTCACCAAAATATTTGTTCGGGTGGAAGATTGTAATTAATCTTGTAAATGTAATCGTACTCATATTAAAAGCACGCATATAACTCTAAGTAATATGTTCGTACGGATATTTGTACGCTAGATCGGACATAATACTGTAATTAGTAATGTACTTATAATAGAATGCAATTCTTTTATTTGCAAAAACGTAAACTGTTTGCCGTCGATGCCCAAAATAAAATGTATATACATATTTTAAATTTATGGAAATAAAATTAATGTGCACATAATACTGCACCTAAATCTGCTTTTAAGAGAACTCAACTATATAACAGTAATCAACATTGTATGTTTATAGGAATACGAGTACATTATATCCATTAAAGGGCCGTAATTAATCATGTACGTATAAACGAACGTTAAGTCAACTATTATTCTATAAATAAACGGTGACAGTCTTCATGGAAATGATTATTAAATAATTATGCGGAACGGCAGTTAAATATAACCCAGACGAGAAGGTGTCATAACGTCATGTGCACAACCTTTGATCACCTTACCACGAAAGCAGACGCAAATTATGTAATTTGTGCACAAATAATTACAGTACACTGAGGAAATGCGTCTGTGCCGAACGCATATTTCTGGATACAAAACTACAAGTCGCACCTTGAACTTAAAGATTTCGCGTGGTCTGCAACAGTCTAAAATCCGTAAATCATTGGATCATAATAGCACGTGTGTATAATCTAAAATCACGTTGGCAAAAAAATGCAATAAACGGAAGGTTAGGCAGATCTAGGAAACAGGAAACAAATTCCAAAATATGCTAAATCACCAAACTTTCTCGCAAATAGAAAAAAAAACAAAACAAAAAATTAATGTGTGAAAGTGTTATGCAAATAACATAAAAAAGTAATACGCATATTTCTACTTTTTATTTTTGATCTTTTCTTTTTATTTGTTCATCCAAGAGAAATCTTATGGTTAAATCGCCCTTCAAGATGACCCATTTTCATATCTCTATGTGGAAATCGACGTGCAACACAAACAGAAAACTGCCGCAAATTACAATAACACAAAGATATTGTAATTTGAGGTCTATACTTTTCGTGAAAGCATTGACCTCACAGTTTGCCCTTTTGCTTGAGATCCCCAGAATATGGATCAAGTTCATTTCGAAATCACTTTCAATGTCAGCTTCTTCTCCGTATTCTCAACATGTTTTTCGTTTTCTTGGCTTTTAATTTTAATTAGCTGATTTTTCCAAAAAAATTAAACTGTTGAAAAAAAAAACAATAACTGTATATAAACCTTGATGGTTTGATCAATGCCACATTCCTTCATTTGATTTCAATTCAATGAAAAAAAACACACTAATTACTTTTTTTTATTTAATTTCTGGTTATTTTGTAGTGAAAATGCATTTTTCTTTTAATAAATTGACTATAAAGCAGTGATTCAGATATAATTAATCTCCTAAGCAGAGAAGTTTTTCAACATTTATTTAGCATCCTTCTAGTAATTAATAGTTAACACGGATAATTAATAAATGATGAGAAAATCTTAATTTTTGAAATTCTTGACGGCCGTGTAGAAGGATAAACCGCTTTTGAAAACCTGCAGATCAGAGAAAGTATGAAATAAATTATACACTAATGCTTGAACTCAATTTACAGTTGTAAATGCAGCTTTGTTGATGAAGATCATACCACCGGCGGTGAAGTACGGCGCCTTCTGCGATCTGCAGATGATCGTCGGTATGTACTTCTGAAGATGATTCGAATTATTGTACCACTTTGTGCTGTAAATGAAGTTCGATACTTCGGAAGCCTGAAAACACAAATATTTTGAAAAATAAAGTGACAGCTGTCAAAAGATACGTTTTTCAACCATTATATTTATTTGTGGTTATAACACTTGTTAATAACATGAAATTGACAGCTGTTCCAAATTTATCGCTACCTATAAGGATATCACATATTTGATTATATTTGTACTGTTCACCATTTGTTACATACAATTTTTGACGTTTTGACAGTTAACCCAACATATCTACTTGTACTACTTCCCAATTTCCTATAACTTACAATTTTTGACGTTTTGACATAAAGTGACAGCTGTCATTTTGCGATCCATTTAAAAATTATCGCAATCCATTGAAAAACGCTGTCCTATACACTTATAAGTACATAGGACTATATTTGCGTTAATATAGATTCAAATTATATTTGTCAAACCTACACGTTTCTCAATCGTCATGCCACACAACCCAACATATTTATTTTTACTGCTTCCAAATTGCCTGTAACATATGTTTTTGACGATAGATTGAGAAACGCTGACCTATACTTATAAGTATATAAGATTATATTTGCATTAGTTATTTGAGACTCAAATTATATTTGTAGTCATATCCGTGAAATTCATAAAGTAATAATTAAAACAATTATAGTTTCATAGATTAAATAATTAATTAATTAAATATATTAATTTCATTCACAACGATAATTTTTTTTATATAGCTATTTTATATTAATTAATTCCTACACGCGATAAAGTTTGAATGAATTGATTTCTTTCTTAAAAAAAATGTAATATTGGAATGTGGTTTTAGATGTGTTAGAATTTAATGAATGTAAATAGATCTTACGACTTCCGATAGATCGTCAGCAGGAAAGCAGTAGAGAGCCAATTGGATAGACACGCATATCATGTAGAAACAGCTGGTGGCTACAGCAGGAATGGTGTTTCTGAAAGAATAGTAAATGTGTTCCTACGATCATGTGCATGTTGTAAATGGGTCGACGATTGGAGTGGCGGATAAGAACATCCGGGACAAGCAACTTGGAACCGGATGTAATGTGTCTACCGGATGTTAAACTATTCTACGCAAAAATGAACTTAAAAACCCGGACCTTATGCATTTCCAAATTAACTTTCAATTATTATTATGGGGCGACTAACAGCCGAATGGTTAAGTCGATCTTGGTGAGACCTCTCGGTGCTTGCAGCAAAAGGCCCATCGTTCATCATGAATGAACAGTCAAATGAAAGAGGTTCAGCATATGCAACTTTAGCAATAGTAGAAAGACGGCAGCCAACCAACAAATTACAGAAGAATATAATGGTAAAAGCTTTGGAAATTTTCCAAAAAAAAACAACATGTACGGCCATTATATTTAATTAATATTCACAGGAATAAGATTTTAAATCAATAAAATTTCACGACAAATACTTTTTATATTGTGAGAATAAAATTTACAAACAAAATATTTTTAAATGTCTGAGTTACATAAGTAATGATATTTAATCCATTTCAAAAATATTTACTTATTGTATTCATCTAAAAATATTAAAATTATCTATGTTCGTTAATTAAACAAATAATTAAAAAAAAAAGATAGCAAAATATATTTAATTTGTTTTAATTTAATCTAATTTAATTATTAGGCAACTCAGCTATTTTGGGAATTAATCATATATTTTGAAGCTCAACATATAGTAAATAAGATTAAAACTTATTTTGTTACATTCATATCATTTTTGTTTTCATTAATTTTATGACAAAAAATTATTTTAAGTCTGTCTGTCTACAAGATAATTTCTTTGTTGGATATTTTCGTATCATTTTACTGCAACAATTTTTTATAAAAAAAAATTACTTGAATGTCTAAAATGGCTGTTCCAAACAATATTTCGGTTTCCGAACAAAATTATGTTATGAGTTGTACCGTGTTGAACAAATACGTGTATAACAAATATTATTGGTTTGTGAACTTAAATTAGATAAAGTAATTAGTTTTTTTTGTTATTTAAAAAAAAATGTTGCATTTGGATCATCTTGAGTTTCATCATGATTTTGTTTGTGTTTGTTTATTTTTCAGAAAATTACTTCAATAAAAACTTTTGTGTAAATGAATAATTCAAAAAACAAATTCTGTTATTTTTGTATCTTGAACTCACTTGAATTTAAGAAAATATACAAAATGTCTTCTTTTCCAAACAATATTTCGGTTTTCGAACAAAATTTTGGTTCATGTTATGAGTTGTATAATGGGAACAAATGTAATAAATATTTTTGGTAAATGAACCTAAATTACACAAAGTAATTACTTAGTTTTATTAGTTTTTTTTGTGTGTTATTTTATGAAATTTTCATTTCTAATCTTAAATTATTCAAACACAATGAACTTTTTTTGTTGTTGGTTTCGAATGATCTTGATTTTTTTTCATAATTTTGTTCGTGTTCGTTCAATTTTCTTCAAATTATTCAAATTATATTTAGGAAAATATACAAAATGCCTTCTTTTCCAAACAATATTTCGGTTTCCGGACAAAATTTTGGTTATAAATAATATTGTATATAACTAATATTGTTGGTTAATGAACCTAAATTAGACAAAGCTATAACTCAATTTAGTCAGTTTTTTTTGTTATATATATTATTTGTTTCTTGTTTTCAATACAAATTAATAAAGTATTTTTCTTCTTTGTGTATATCTCTTCAAAACTAATTAAAAAAAAACTCTACATGCAAACGCTTATTAAGAATATCACATAAACTACATACATATTGTAATAATTTGTTATTACTCTGTGTTATGTATGTATTTATTGCTTGCAAATCGTTGACAACATCTTCTTGGTACTCTCTGTGAATGCCAATAGACGCATGTGCACATGACGTCCACTCCATATGACATTGAACAGAATCTTGCGCCGTTTCAAATGCATAACATCATTATGCAATTCATAGTTCCTACTTCCGTTTCTACTATTATCTTCTAAAAATAGCAACAAAAAAATCGTTTCGTTGAAAAACAATATCTACGAATGGAGTAAATAAACATATAGGATCTATATTTAGATGTAGTATCATTAATAATAAACGATACTTATTATGTCTGTCTGTGCACAAAATTATATTTTTATGTAAAAATCTACGAACGATGAACATAAAATGTTTTATATTTATTTCGTCTGAACTTTATCAGGAGTACATAAATTGATCGCATCGATGAAATAATTGATGTAGTTATTGCATCACACATTGATTGAGACTTTGAAATAATACTTCCACAATAATCAAATATATTGCAAAAATCGTGCCATAATCAGAAAAGTATTTACTTTTAGACTTTTAGTGGAAATGGATCAATAAATTACACCTCATTACAAAGTAATTAATTTGAAATAAGCGTTAATAATTATTGCTTTTCTCTTGAAAGATCTGATTTTCAAAAATTTTGTCAACTTTTTTATTTCTATTTAGACTTTCAATTTTTTATTTATTGTTGCATATATTAGAAAGATAAATACAGAAAAATTCTTTGTTTTCGAACAATATTTCGGTTATCAAACAAAATTTCGGTTACCAAACAGAATAGATGATATGTATAGTTAATGAACGTAAGTTGTTTCGGTTTTCGAATTTATTTGTTTGTTTAATTCGTTCGTACTAAAAGAACTAAATTTCGGTTTCTAAACAGAATATGTAAGATGTGTGGAGAAAGAACATAAGTTGTAATTTTGAAAACAGATTATGTATTAAACATTATTATTTATAAGTATAATCGTTTTTGTATTCAAATTATTTCTTCTTTAAATCTGTTAATAAAAGAATAAAATTTTGGTTTCCACACATATGTGAGATGTGTGGAGAAAGTACGTAAGTTGTAATTTTGAGAACGGATTTTCTATATTTCGGGTTTCAAACAAATTTAAGTTTGCAAACAGAATAAACAAGATATCGTATTCGGTTATCAAACCATTTAAAAAATAACGTAATTTCTATTCCCGAACAGAATTTACAAAATTACAATTAAAATTTAACGATTGAACATTACTCTGAGAATTATGAATATTAATATGCAATTAAAATTTTGATATACTAGTTCTGTGAAAAGATAATTATTGAAGGTTGATAATTACACGACGTAGATTTCTAATAGCATTTAAAGTGAAACAATTAATAACTTGCAAGTTTACAAACTAAAATTACTTGCAATTAGAGGTCTAAATTATTAACTTTTCTAATAATTCTAAGAAAATTAATTATTTTCATTAATTAAATAAACAAAAATAAAAAAACATTTTTTTTTCCATCTCCGTACAGTCAAATCAATAGAATGACAAGTAGAGATTTCTAATTGAATTTGTGCCTATATTAATTAAAATTTTGGATGTGTAATTGATTGAAGTTTCTAAATTTTTAAAAAGTTTGAGTTTGTATTTACCTTTCTGTTAGAATGAACAACTGGATGCAAATGCTGTAGGTGCTGAGCAAATATTGAAGGAGTAACGCGCTTTTGAACGTCTCGCTGAAGAAAGTGGTGTACCTAAAACAAACGCGATTTGCAGTTCAAAAGTAAAAAAAAGACGTGCAACGAACTCGAGAAGAAAAATGTGGTGTTTGATGCAATTCTTCAAATTGGCTGCAATTTTAGCTTCATTCGTCTCATCATCCAAAAGCAATAAGGCGTCTCGGATTAGCATGAACTGCCTCTTGATGAGGATACATAAAGACATGAAGAAGACGTCCAGACCAACGACGTAGATGCAATCGCAGGTGAAGGCAAAATATTGGCCGATTAAGAGGATGGCGAAGGCGTGAGGAAAATCAGGGATTTTGCATACGAAAACCAGATCTTTGCTCACGATGGAACGCACATATAAAAGTGTTAAGGTGACGAAGAAAGTGCGTTCGTAGATAGGAAAAGCTCGGAACCAAAGCTTGTACTCATCCTTCTTAGAATTAGGTAAATCCTCCCAGAAATGCTCCACTTGATTCACAAGCCAACTCATGTTTGGAAGGTAGAATAATATGACAACCAGCTTAGTTCCACCCTTTTAAAAAAGTTACTTTAGTCTTGTGACCATTACTTAAATAAAACAAAACCTGCATGTACGAAGAAAAGGCTTCTGCTGCATCCATAATTACATCGATGTTATTATAATTCTCAGCCACCAATAAAACGATCAAAACAACGTAAACTACGCGTAGTAAACTTACAAAAACTGAGATGCCATAACCAAAATTGTAGCTATGAGCGTTCAATCCAACGTAACCCAATGTTTTCAAGCCCATATTGGCAAGAGCCACGTTCTTTGTTACAGTCATAATGTGTTTAGATCAAGATCAGATCGAGAATTGATCATGGGCTTAGCGCAATCGAAAGTTAGACTATAATTGCTTCATAATTGTCGACATGTGGCAGAGTTTCTTCGATCAACTTTTGTTCGCATTCTCATGCATCGCGCTAATAAAAGAAGATGATAATTGCTGTGCATTATACAACTCTGTTTGCCAGTCGCGACTTCTATTTGGATCGACATTGAAATTCCTTTACGCTTTTAAACTAATTCTTTAATGACAATAGATGGCGTGTACCAAATACATATAATTAAAAAAGTGATTGCATTTTATAAGTCTGTTTAATCGAAATCCAAAAAGTTGCACTTATTTATATTATATATCTAGTAGGTAAATTAGGCTCTCAGAGCCGCATGCGGTTCTTTTTCTTTTTTTCCTTTATTTTCCGGTCATCTATCTCACATGAGACAATGAACTGAATTGGCTCTTTTGATAAAAAAAAATGCCACGTGCATGTTTTTAAATGCAAGTGACTCTGCTACAAAATCTAATAATTTATCAATTTTAATAGTATATTTTTTTTACTACACCAATTAAAAAAAAATACTTTGTCATGTAATAAAATCAATAATTTTATTATAATTTATAATACGAGACAATAAAAATATAATAAACTATTTGGAAAATCCAAAGATACAGTTTAAACAACAAAATTATGTAATTATTATTGTAGAATTTGACATAAATTTTGTTAATACCAAATGTGAAATGATCAAAGTCTAAAGTAGAATTAAATAAAAACAAAGAAACTAGTGGAATTTATGCAAATTATTGATTCCAATTAAAAAATTGAATATAGAAGTATGTAATGAAACAAAGAAAAAATAATAATAATTGACATAATAAATTATTTCATGTTTAATTTAATAGGAGAAAATATTGCAAATTAATACAAATTATCGTAAAAATATGTTTTCTTCAAATCATTTTATTTCTCAATCTTATTAAATACATATTATTCTTCATTTTTTTGTTACATAATGAGAATAAAAGAAATGTGCATAGTGCGTTTTATTGGTTTTGCCAATGTTCCGAACTGTTTGAAACCGGACGAATTGAGGAAAAAAATAAAATAGAAATAAATCGTACAAAACGAGACTTGACTAAGCTGGAATTGATCCTGGTCAAAGAAAAATTTAGTAACATTACTTTTTTTTAATATAAATTTGTCGTCCGAGAAAATTTAAAGAAACTAGAGAAAATCTTTACAAAACAATCTACAATAATCTAAATACAAGATATTCAACGTATTTTCATCTAAAAAAATAATATTTCATATTAAATCATATTTGATATCTTAACATTTCCAATAAATGTTTAATTACTTAATCGTAATATTTTTGCTTCCACCCATAAAATTTATAAAAAAAATACTACATTATCTAAATTACATATACAAATTTTGTTACATCTCACTAAATAAATTCATTTATTTATTTTATTTTTAAATAAATGAAACATTAAATCCTTGAATAACACTTTACTAATAAAATTCACAGCAAAACCATCAAAAATGTAATATTAAAAAGAAATATACCTTATTAAGATTAACCACGTTCTTAATTGTATCACAACATATTTTATGTTTATATACAAATATGATGTTTTTTCGTTAATCCAGTCGAATCTGTTTTTTGTTGTTGTTGAATGTATGTACTTCCTATACCAGGTATTGTTGCTATTGTGTCATATTACCATATTTGTTGACTAACTTATTTGTTCAAAACAAAATGGGTAACCTAATTATTTTTCTTACATAAAATATAAATAATTGATATCTGAACATTTCCAACGAATGTTTAATTACTTAATCGTAGATTTTTTTTTGCTTCTACTGAAAGAAATTATAAAAAAAACTACATAATATTGTCTAAATTACATGTAAATATAAAATATATCTTTTTAAGATTAAGATTAATCATGTTCTTAATTATATTACTACAGATTTTATTTTTATATTCAAATATGATTTTTTTTTTCGTTTATCCAGTCAAATTTGTTTTTCTTGTATGTATGCAATTCGATTAATTCGGTTTCAAACAGTCCGGTATATCGATTACGCGCACTATACGAGATATTGTTGCTATTGTCTCGAGAGGAGAGAATACCTACATATCACCAATCCATGAACAATTCACAAATTTTGTCTAAAACAAAATGGATAACCTAATTATTTTTATTACATAAATAACTGTAAAAATAAATACAATCTTATGATAAGAAGATAACCTCACATAATCTTAATGAAATAAGGAACTTCATCGTTCATCATAAATTTAGAAAATAGCAACTATAAAACAGAGACATTTATTGTTATTTTTTAAGAAACAAAGTCATCAAAAGCGGAAGTAAAATGTGCAAAAATCGCATAAATATTATTCACTAAATGTCATTTTTCTAGAAATGTAGAATTTCGCAATATTTATATTAAAAATTATTGTTTGTTGGCATTGGTTGCGCTGCGGTTTCTCAAGGTAACTTCTTCTATGGACAAACCTTTACGAAATGCTACATAGTGTCAACAGTTAGTAAAAGGTGGGTCAACGTCCGAAAACCTAAAGATGAAAATAAAAATATGAAATATCATCATCATAAAATGATAGCAACAATAAATTAACTACTAAATTATGTGACGTCTCTTCACATCCAAATTTAAATAATAAATGTCGTTTTCCTGATGGGGCGTTTCTTTTCCACTAAAAACATGTACGATTTTATTACAGTTATTCCAACGATTTTAAAACTATTAATGAAACCGTAGGAGAAATCTGCAAAATAAATTAATTCAAATTTATTATCGTATGATTTTTCGTTCAGACAATATGGGTCAACTTGTTAACTTTGATGACCTTTTTAATAATTGCTATTCATAAACATAAACACTGACTAACTTATTATTGCGATCTAAAATTCAATTTTTGATTCTCATGAAAAACAAAATCGAGCACGTGCAAAAAGGAAACATATTTTTAGCAGATAATTAGCGATAAATTAAGGATTGACAGGTTTAGTGAATTAAAGTTACAAACAAATCAATTAACTTGCAATCATCAATTGAATTTATCTGCATAAATACTAGTGTAGTATATTGACAATAAATTTAACCGGAACATATGCATTTACGTTTAAAATTTACTATTGATTGATGAATAAATTGATGATGCTTGTTTATTTTAAACGCATTATCGGTTTTTTTCGAATAACACGAGGAAAGTTTTTATTTATTCAAATTACATTAAACACTTGCACACGCTGACAGAAATCGATTATATATTTATTCTAATTACAAACGGAAATGGAAGTAAAATTGGATAAATTGCTAATAAATACTGCAATTTTGATAATAATAATAATCATTATATTACTAACAATAAAATAAACAAATTAAAACACATTTATATAATCAAAATAATTAAATTTAAATTTAAAACTAATTATTATCAATTATTTTGTGTTTATAATACAAAAGAACATATATAAAATAATATAAAGTAAATATTTACATAATTCATGTTGTTTCAATAATTAATTGTCAATTACAATAAAAAAAACTACAATAAAATAATATAGTCACAAGAAATTTTTCTAGTTTTCTATTATAAATGCTAATTTATTAAAGTATATAAAAAAGATTTAAAAATAAAATAATAAATAGATAATTAGATTGCAATAAGTCTCATTAATTATAATTAGTTCATATTTTTTTAAATGAATATGTGCGTTCTGTAATGATAGTGAAAAATTGTATTTGTATATATTGCTTTTTTCTGATGAAATTGTTTAAAAATTATTGTAATAATGAGAATTATATGATTATGCAATTATTTTTTTCATTGTTTTTATTAAAGCAGTGAGAATTGAAAATATATGCAGTTTTCAAATTTAATTGCTTATTTCGTATAATATAATAAATACCAAAGTATGAAAGTGATGAAGAATACAGAACTTGATGAAATTATTCAAATGAGAAGAACAGAACTTTGAAAACCAAAGTAAAGAAGAATGGTGAATTAGGCAAAATTATTCTAGAGATAAATATTTAAGGATGATGGAAATAATGGTTACAATTTTCAAAATCATAGTATGAAATCTATAAAGAATAGAGAGCTACATGAAATTATTGAAATGAACAGAATTAAAGAAAGTTTGAAATGACAATTAGAAAATAAAACTAGATGAAATTATTCAAGAGTGAAGAACAGAACTTTGAAAACTAAAGTTAAACAGTAATAAATTAAGGGAAATTATTGCGTAGAGAAAAATTTAAGGATGATGGAAATACTGGTTAAAATTTTCTAAATCAAAGTATGAAAGCGTTTTGAATCATTTATATTTTTTAATAGATGTTTATGAAGGGAGAAGAAATGAAGTATGAAAGTGATGAAGAATACAGAACTTGATGAAATTTAGAATTGACAATAGATTTGTTTATACCATTATACAAAATGCAGACAATTTAGTATAAAATTAAAATATGAAAGTGATGAATAATAGTAAACTAGATGAAATTAAACAAGAAATAATAAATGAAGGAAGATGAAAATAATGTAAAAATCTATCAAAACTTCCAAAACCAAAGTAAAAAATTCATGAAAAAAGAGAATTAAAAGAAATTATCCAAAAGATCGGAATTGATGGAAATAATTAATAGAACTTTAAAAACTGTCAAAACTAAACCTTTATTTTGATTGTTTACACATTTGAAATCTTGAAAAAAATTTCAAATAGTTAAAATTTTATTTTGCTTAATGTATGTTCAAAGCAAAGAAAATAACATTTAATATTTTCAGATATTTTTTTCTATCTGCTTTAATAAATCATAATTTCTGAAACGTAATTTTGTCAGAGATTCCGGTAAACAAAATGTAAGAAACACATATAAAATTATGTCATTATTATAGTCAATAGACGAAGGACATATATTAATTGCATAATACGCAAATTCAAAGAAAACAATTTTCCATTCA